GTTGATGTCAAAAGAAGACCCACTACACAAATAAGCCAGATAGACGGTTAGAAATAACAAAAAACTTGCACAACAGGAAATAATAAAAAAAAGAGGCGACCACAAAAATTTGAGGAAATGAAAAGGCCAACAGAGCAGAGCCCCAAAAAATAAAAAAAAAACAACAAAAGACTGAGGAGAGTTTTAAAGTCTTGGCTGCTTTGGGTGTGGGTGCAGTCAGTCAGGTGAGGCACAGACACACACATGTGTGTGCGTATGTGTGTGTGTGCTGTGCAGCGAAATGTGCAATTTTACACCTTTAGATTGTGACTATTGTGCTCATTTTGTTGTTGTTTTTTTTTTTTTGGTTTTGTTCAACAAATGCAATTGCGAAAGTGAGTCGCAGCCGAAGTCGAAGTCATCAGCAACGGCGAGTATAGTGTATAAAATAAAGTGAAGTGCTATGTGGTGAACGTTAGGCATAGCTAAAGCAGCAAAAATAAAATAAAAAATAAAACAAGATGAAAAAAATACGGCTCTAGCTTGTTACTGCTGATGAGTTTTGTTGTTGTTGTTGTTGCTGTTGTTGCTCATTATTTGTGTAGCTGGTGTTGGGTGCAGTTGTTAAAGACAAAAGACTTGAACGACAAACCTGATGATTAAAGTTAAAAAATCCCAGCTGTGGTTTGTTGTGTATAGTGCGAGGGGGTTTGAAATTATATAAATTTTTTTTTTTTATTTTTATTTATATTTAGGTGATTGTCAATCGCGTTTGGATTTGCATTCACAATTTTTGGTTGAAGTGTGTGTGAAAGGAAAACGATTTTTGTGTTTGATGGGCAAAGGCACACAAAAACACAAACACACACATACACATAAAATGAGAGAGAAACAAAAACAAAAGGTTAATGAGTTTGTTGCATGAAGGTTTCCATATTATATTTAAGTGAAAGCCTCAGGTCTAAGTACAACAGCTGAAGGCTGCTTGAGAAGATGCGACTGGTAATTTGTAATTTGATCAATGCATATGTGGCCTGATGCAGCTCGCAAACTCGTTTGAATTGAAAATGTAATAAATTCATTAAGAGACATTGACCGGCATGAATAGACGCAAATGTAGCCGAAATAGTTGTTAAGCTCCAAAGTCTAATTTTGATTTCAGTTTTCATAAGCTTTTTACATTGTCTCATTAGCCGGTCAACTCTTGCATCAGTCACCAACTCAAGCCCAGCTGGGGTCACAGTAAACCAAATTGCGTGTTAGCTAACTGCCAGCTTTCACTGTGCGGCCCCAGAGAGGCTGCTCTATAAGCGGGCTGGCCGCTCGTTGAGTGAGTGGTGCAATTTATGGCTGATGCGGACGTTTTGCAAATGTAATGCAAAAAAAAATACAAAAATGGGAAAAATGCAAATGCACTTTTTATGCAAATTTCAAATCAATTGCAGCCCACATTGCGCACAGTTCGTCAAAGCTCGAGACCTGGCGAACTCAGAGCTCAGCTTGGGTGCAATAATTGCGCCAGTTTTAGCTGCTACTGCTGCTGCTGCTGGCTGATGTTGTCATGGCGCATTATATTTAGCTTATTTGTTTGTGTTTATCATTATGAAGTCTTGTATTTACAGTCGTGACTTTTGTATTAGATCTCAAATTTGGTTTCCAACTGGTTTCTATTTGCTCTGCTCTGATCTCTACCGTTGCGGTTGCTGTAAATGGGTACAAATCTATTCACACTATGCCGAGAATTGCGCTGTATCCATTTGCTTTGCTGCAGCACTCGCTGCCTGAGGTTTTGTTTTTATTTCTGATTTATTTATTTATTTAATTTAATTTTCGTTGCTTTTTTTTTTTTTTGTTGGTTTTGTCTTAAAATGTCAACGGCGCTTGGCGGGGGTCGCACACCATTGCCAAAGCTGTGCACGTTGCATGCAATTCGCAGTGCCGGGTCTTAATGGCCACAGACACAGCGGCTGCATATAATCATAATAATAATAATTGAAAAAGTTGCATTAAAAATATCCACAACCAAATTGCTTATGCATGCAGTTGCAGACAGCAGAGCCGGATCAGATGGCGACTTAGTTAGTGAAAATGATCACGTTTGCAGCTGCGTGCAGAAAGGCAAACACACAGACAGACAGGCGGACAGACATTGTCCGTGCACACAAAAGATGCAGGCAGCGACATATTGCGCATACGCGTCGTATGCCCGCAACGGATGTGCCGGCCAAACGAATGACCCTGGCATTTTTTTATTTTTTATATTTGTTTTTTTATTGCTACCTGACAATCTGCAGCTGAGCTCTGGCCAAGTAACGCTTGAATCGCTGCTGACCTGCTTGCAGCTTATATAAAGTTAGCGCAAATAATTGCCAGAGTCAAATGACATATGGAAATTGTAATTAGCTGGGCCATTCAACAATGACAAATTGACGCATTAAACGCAATCGACCAAATATCGCTAGGGTCAATTATTTATGATAGTGATAGATGGTTAAATTCTAGGATTTTAATGGGGGGCTTACTCACCGGTGGCGGTTCGCTGGCGGTGCTGTAGACCTCGCTAGCCGCATAGTCGGGCTTCAATTGCACGGTAGCCATGGATACGTTATCCTTCTCGGTCATCTATGTATCTATGCACTATAAAATAAATACATAAATATGACTTGGTATTCATCAAACACTTGGGTTCACATTCAGCCTTAGATCTTATTGTTTTTCGTCATGCTGCACAAATAGTTTGAACCAATTTTTCGTGCACTTTCAAAATTGAAGGTGGTTCGTTAAAAATTGCATATTGGAAAAATTTCACTTTTTTTGACAATTGATTTGGTTTCTTATTTTCGTCTTCTTTTTAGTTGTTTTATTGTCGACTTCTCCACTTACATTGAAATTTATGTGTTTTGTTTTTAACAGAAACGACGCTCAGTAACGAAAAAGTAAAAGGAGTTTTGCGTTTTTCTTTTTTTTTTTTTTAATTTATTTTGTTGTTATTTGTTTCGCTTGTTGGAACAATTTTTTGGTCGCTTTGTGCGGTTATGAAAAAGTTGCCTGACCAACTTTTCAGAGGTCCGCCAGGTGGATAAAGAAAATACTACGTCTTTGTTGTACGACTGCCACTCGCCGTCTGAGGCCTCAAACGCGTTTCGTTTCAGATTTTTCTACCAGATTTAAAACTTTTTTCGTCTGTCGGCGTCGACTGCAAAGCCACAAATACACGCAAAGCGCGGCTCACACACACACACGAGCGCGCACATCAACTAATACACACGCAGGGCAAGTACACGATCGGCAGCAGCAAAAAACACGAACGTGAAACGAGAAACAAATAAAAATAAGAGTAAAACGAAATACACATACACACGCAAACAGTTACCCACACACTCACATAGCATTTACAATCACTTGATCGTGTATATATATATATATGTTATTTCAGCCGAGCTTGACTGAGAGCTTAAAAGCTTTCGGGTGCGGCTTGCTGGCTTGCCAGAGCAGCTACGCAGCAATTTTTCTTTCAAGCTGCCCACAAGCTTACTTTAGTACAAAAAATATTTAAAAAAAATTTGTTTTTCTCTTCGTCTTTCCTAATTGGCTGTAAAACCTTTTCGATTCGTTTTGGCCTCAGCTTTAATGCATAAACAGACGAGTATTTTCACGAATACCTTCTATTCAATTATTAACGCCCAACACTTGTATAATCGGCAACTATTCTCATGGTGGTAATAGACCATGGCGTAACCATTGCAAATCAATTTTTTCTTTATTTACAATAAAAATTATATCTTTCTTATGAAGTACACATCTATATACAGATTAATTTATGTGTGTAATCCTAAACAGAAAGAGAGAGAGAGAGAGAGAGAGAGAGAGAGAGAGAGAGTTCTGCAAATGGTTATCGCTGAACTGCGCAAACCGAAATTCGATGATAGCTTTTTATAAATGCACATATGCTCATGCTCGCAATTCCTTCTACTTATAATCTTACCTGCCTTGCGAACATTATTTGCGAAGCATTACGCAAACTCAAACTCAGTTGCTGATTCGTAGACAAAGCTCCAGCCGAAATGAAGATACTTCACGCAGTGACATTTATTCTGATTTTACTGGCATTTCATCGTTTGACATATTCGCGAAAAATAGTACATCCAGATGTGAGAAACAAACTCAGGACTGAGCCCAAGAGGGACTACACGGGGAAGCCCATACCTCTTGATTTTGAAAAATAAGTGTTAATAAATATACTATATACTATATACTATATTGTTTATAATGCATTGGTGTTTTCTATCAGACTGGAGGAGACCAAGGCCCAGGTCAAACGAATTCATAAGGGTCTTATGGGAAAGATTCAAATATCCGCGATCTACTTTGTGTATCTTTTTAATTGATTACACAAAAAGATTGCTTGTAACATGCATAAGCTACAATGAAGTCTTTAAAATATAATATACCATTAATATGATATATCATTAACTATTGCAAATATCGCTTCTCAGCATTGACTACTCTTCAGTCAAAGTCTAAGAACAATGCACCCCAATCGCCTAGCACAGTCGAGACGTACTGCAAGATACACTAGATCGAAAATCGAATTGAGTTTTGCGGATTGCTGTATTTGGCGCGATATAAATACATTTTCAATATAAGAGCTTCGGCAAGCGTGAACATTTATCAAAAGCCCTTCGCCTACAGATTGTTCCGCCCAAGTCAGGCTGATTCTGTTTTTTAATGCACAATTGTGGATCGATCTGATCTGAGAAGAACACAGGACCAAAGTTTAAAGAAATACTAGTGGAACAGAGCTGTAAAACCAGCTAAGCAAGAATTCAAATCATGGCAAGAATTTTGCAAAGTTCCACAATTTATAGCTATAGCTATATTCAATCTCTAACTATTGATGGTGTGAAAAACTTAATCATTCCCCTAATCAAGTATATCTACCTCTTCAAAACTAAGGGCTTTAAATATACACCAGTTAGGAATGCCAAGCTGTATCTGTTCTGCTTCTCAGCATCGTAAGCCGGTTTGAATAAATATAATTTTCAAATCAATACTTTACTTAGCAAAGTCTCAGTGTGGAAATCATTTGTATATCTGAACGCAAGGTATTAAAACGTTATAAAGTGAGTATCGCAAGATATCAATATAATGAAATCAACTAGATTTTTGCTTGAATACTGCCAGAGCGATCAACAAGATGAATTATCTATGCGTCTTGGTAATTTTGATGCTTCTCATGCAATTTACCGTCAACTGTAAAGATTTAAAGTTGCGACCGCAAACCGCGAAGGATTTTAAAGGAAGACCCAGGCGCCTCTAATATATATATGTTTATACGTGCAGATATTTGTTATAAATTGGTTAATTAAACAAATATGTTCTTTGTGAACAATTTTATTGTTATTCTGATACTTTCTTATCTTCGAATGTAGTCTAAAATTTAAAAGAAGCCCTAAGGTTTTTTAGTTTATAACAATCAAAAAACTTGTAAAAACAAAGATTTTAATAAAACGCACAGTTCATTATTTATTAATAATTAATGGTAGTCGAATGTGTCCAGTATGCAAAGAGTAGACCTTATTGAAGGGAACATACAAATATATTAAAATAAATATAATTTAATCAAGAACGTTTAAAAAATTATAATAACATTAACGCCTATCAGTTGTGACTAGGGTCAATGAAATACATTCACCCAACCCATGACGTTACTTAAGACATTATTGTAATCTCTTCCGGCTTTTACCTGATCATTATTTTTTACAATATTTGAATTATTCGTAATCTCGACTATTTAAATTAAATAAATAGTTACAACACCTTAAGCGTGAATACTATTATCAGCCTGTCTCTCTGGTCAGTGTAAATAGAATCGAGAAATCATTAATCGCGAGTGTTGAAGTAGGACTAGACGTTCGCATCAATCGTTATATTGACTGCATTCGAGCTAATTGTAACATCAGATCTTTGAATACAACAAGGACTGCCATTAAAATGAGTACACCTCACGCTATGAGCTTCATCCTGCTTATCCTGTTGGCACTTTTCTGCTTTGCTTCAGCACAACACGCAGTCCCGGATGAAAGGAGGTTGAGGCCTTTCGCCCGCAAGTCCATTATGGGAAGACCGAGGCGTATTGATTTTAATTCTACAACTACAAGTATTAAAAACACTGCTGTTAATTGATAATAAAAAAAAGTCTTTATTGTTGGAATATTTTAAAGTTTTCAAATTACTTGCGATTAAGTCTTCAAAATATAATACACCATTAATTTTCCCAACGATATATAATTTTTGCAAACTCCGTTTATCACCCTTTTCATGGTTTTCATCATATTCCTAGCTATCAAATGCACAACTAATTGCAAATCTACTTTTTTTATTTACAAATAAAATTATTCCTTTCGTATAAATTACACGTCCATATACAGATTGCTTTATGTATGTTATCTTAAAGAGTGAAAGTACTGCAATAGGTTATCGTTGAACTGCGCAAATCGAAATTCGGTGATAGCTTTTTTTATATGCTCATATTCACCATTTCTTCTATAATCTTAAATGCATTGCGAACTCAGACTCATAATGTAAACATTATTTGCGAAGCATTAAGCAAAGTGTTCAGACATACGAGTACAATTAAAAAGAAGAGCCAACTCAATTGCTGATTCGTAGACAAAGCTCCAGCCGAAATGAAGATACTTCACGTAGTGACATTTATTCTGATTTTGCTGGCATTTCATCGTTTGACATATTCGCGAAGTATAGAACATCCAATTGAGGAGAACAAACTAAGGCCTGAGCCCAAAAGGGACTTCACAGGGAAGCCTATACGTCTTGATTTTGAAAAATAAGTGCTAATAAATATAATAATTTGTTAATGAAGCATTGTGGTTTTATATCAGATACTAGAGGCCCAGGTCAGAATCTATTTAAGGAATACGTGAATACTTATATGTACACATCTAGTACATATGTATGTGTGGTGAGCACATTGTGATAAGCACATATTTGTATAAGTTTTAGCTACTGCGTTGCATCGATATGCCCGATCTGTTTGTGTAGCGCATCGTAAAGCTCGGCACACACAAAATTAAAGGTGCCCAACACATTCGCGTACACATAAATTAAAACCCAGATCTCGTAAAACTAGCTGCGGCTCAAATTTGCTGTCGCTGGCGTCGGCGTCGGCGTCAACGTCGCTGTCAACGTCGGCGTCGACAACAGCCTCAGCTGCACTGCAGCGGCCGTTGATCAAGTCGCTTTTGTGGCAGCTGTCTTTGTTGTTGTTGTTGTTGTTGTTGCACCACTCAAACTTGTTGCTGCTTACGAAAAAACATAAACTTTTCGCTTTGCTGTAGTAAAGATTTTGTTGTCTTATATACCCATTAAAATTGTATATACAGGGTATAATTAAACCGTCCTTATGTATGCATCAGACAAAGGGAATCTCTGCTTACATCAGTTATATTTGTATTGAATAACCAGCGCTTACATTTAAAACTCTCTCTTGTCAGATATGTACTCGCCTTTCTGTGCGCTTCTCATGAGACTTTTACTTAAACAATATTTGTTATTATAATCATGTTCAATTAATATATGTGTACCTCAGTGAGCCCACTAGATTTCAATACTATTTCTTATAAATTTAGAATGTAGTTGACTTTAACTATGTCACAGCTGAAAGGTCTTAGTATCCCTCTCTCTCTCTCTCTCTCTCTCTTTCACTTGCGCTTCCTTATCTACTACTTAAACTTTCTCTCATTCCCTGACTGAGAACAAAATTAAACAACATCTCATGTGAGAGCATGAACATGAAATGCGATTGACATCAAGGGATGCGTATTTATAGTAAATATGACTTGTATATTGAGTCAATGTAGGCCAGTGCTCTACAGGGTATCTGCTATTCGAGCACACTCTTTATTCTGCGCCGCTCAAATAATTGTAGTGGCCACAGCGTCTAACAACAAATCATTGCACTATACACAAATAGTCTTATGTCTATGTATATATATATATAATATTGAGTATATAGCATGTCTGTATATGTGTGTGTGTGTGTGTGTATGTGGCCAGGGTTCATCTTGATTGCTTCAGCAGCTGCCGTTGCACGCTGGCCTCTCCCCGCTTCCCTCTTCCCGCTGTCTGTGCTGCTTTGTCCGTTTAACCTCAGCTTTACTTGAGCTGAAATCCAACACAACAGCAGAAGTGAAGCGAGTCTTTGAAATAATTTTGAGATTATATATACCCTATAGTGAACTGATAATAAGATTATAATGCAGCAAACTTGACATTAGTTTTGGACTTTTATTTAACAAGTAAATGAAAGTTGATGGACAGTGCTATCATTGGAGTGCATCAGATTCGCCGAATCATTAACCAATATCATTATTTGCATGACGCTCATGAAATATATAATCGTTCAAATTAGTCGCTAAATTTGTTTACATTTTCTTATTATCGTTATTATAATTATATTTTTATTGCATTTTATAAGCTTTATTACTTTTGCGCATATATATTTTGTTTAAATTGTTGTTATTTTTATTTCAGTTTGGTTTCTTGATATTGTTAGTTTTTTTTTTTTTTGCTGTTCGTTTGGATGATTGGCGCTGCCATCATTCAGGTTTTTTTTTTGTATAATCATTGTCTATTATTTAATTCTTATAAATGTTGGCATACGTATACAAAAACATCCGTAGTTTGATTGGGACGGGCTGCTTTGTTGATTTTACATTCGCCTTACTAATAGTTTATATCATGCTAGACGCTCGTTTATTAGCTGTATCTCAATGACCCAATGCCCGGACCGGCGTTTGACCGCTGTGATTATGCAATCTTGAGTTTATTTATGTTTTTTTTGTTGTTGTTGTTTTTCCTACCGTAATTACATAATTTTTATATTCGAAATGTCACAAGCCAACAAACGCAGTCGCCGCACAAGCTTTGAGCTTCAGCTCTCAGTTCACATTGAGTTATTAGTTATTAAATTTCTTTTTCAGCTTAGGGTTTATGCAACCAGTCGCCCAATGCACGAAGCCAACGCCAACGCCAACGCCAATGCCAACACCATCCCGCCAATCACCGCAGCACGCCTCACTCCCAGTTCCCATGAGACGTCTTGGACATTACAGCATCCCCAGCATTTGCGGTCGGAGCTGTCAGAGCTCCACTAATTGCCAGCTTCAAACTCCGCATGACTTTCATTTGTTTAGATTTTGGACTGTTTTGTTTGTTTTCGTTCCCAAATTCAAAAGTCAGTTGCCGATTTGCATATAATAATCCGGGGAGCAGCTGAAATGCCAAATTAATTAACGATACCCTATGAAAAACAATACTTGCATCAGCTTTGTTATCCAATTGCAGGTTTTACAAATTAGATTAGCATTGATAGATACACACTTTCAATTAAACACAGCAGAGTTACGAAGCAGTCGAAAAATAGATCCAATCTTTATACTATATAATGTGAGGTTCACAAGCAAAAACTTTGATTTTGGTCGAGAAATTAATGAAATTTCTGGGAATTTTATTGTCTCAGCAAATGTGCGCATTATCTTAATTATTTAACCTGTGCGAACTAAACGTATTTGGGAATTGCCATTTTCAAAAACTCACTTTTCTGGTTTCTGCGCTCATCTACATGATTATTTAACAATATTAGAGATCAAGTTCAAAGTCGTAGAGCACTTAGAGCAGTTCCTATAAGTTTTGACCTGTCGCAATAAGTTAAAGAAAAGCTACTACGCTTTTTTAGAGCTTGAACAAATTACAAATAAATTAAATCGAGCTGAGCTTAGCTTAAAGCTCTAATAGGATTCGACTTTGGCGGCCGCTGTTGTAACCTAAGAATATTTCTAATAATTATAATCAAACTAAATCGTTTTAATAAGCATGCACGTTAATTCTCGGATCTGTCACTGATGCTAATTCGATTTGGTTTTCGCAGAAAGCAGCCATTATTAATGTCTACTGCGCAATAGTGCAGGAATATTTATGCATCCATTTGAAATTCAAAATTGTTAAGCATCGGTTACGCCTACAAATTAAAATTTTCTTTTTATTATGGGGATTTTTACAGTTTTTTTTTTTTTTGTTTTTCGTAACTCTCAAAGCGATTCAAGCAACTTGATTTGCTCTCTCTCCGATAGGGAGCTGGCGGTACCAAGCGGCGACTTGGCACCAACACGCCGGCTCGGGCACATGCCTGGGAATAAAGCGGCAACAAAAGGAAAACAAAAGCGCTTCAATGCGGCTTTACGACTCTACAGGGAGCGGTGAAAGATGCTCGCATATGTATACATGTCTACACTCCTATATGCAATACCCAGGCACAACTACATAGGTTCGTTAAAGCACACATATGTCTAATAACTAATCGCAGGTGTGTACGAAGCAAAAACCAAAAACCAAAAAAACAAAAAAAAATAAATAAATAAACGCAAAAAAGTTCGTAAATAATAGCAACAACAGTCGCAACAAATATTTGTGGTCGTCAGATGCTGTTCGGCCATTTTGATTTGGTTTAAAATTAGCTAATAATAAAAAAGAGGAAAAAAAATGGGGAAAAAAGGTGCAAAAAGGTAAACAAAATATCAAAACATACGAAAAAACATCTGCGATTTTTTGTCAAGCGAAATATGCACAATAATAGAAAAACGCTCGGCGATCGAGACGAATTCGCAATGCTCTACTCTACAAATTAAATTAGAGACCTCAGCTTAACACAACTCGAACGAATCAATTTCCAACGGACATTGTTCTTAAGCTCTATTTACCAGTTTCCTTATATGGAAAGTATTTGTTTGCCACTCCGAAATGCAGTCCAAATCTCTATTGTTGTGTAGCGCATTAGAAAATACAATTAGATTTCGAGTTGGACACGGTAGAATGGCTGTTGCGGTGATTATAGTTAGATTTAGGTGTTTGAAGATTGTTTTTTTGGGGATTTTCTATTATTATATTCGTGCGCGCCCAAAGGGTATTCACTTGAAACAATGTAGCATGTTTCTCTGCCTGAGGCAAACTGATTATTTATTTTACTATCCATAACTCTTTTTTCTGTTGTTGTTTTTGTTTTTGTTTTTGTCGGAAAAAGTCCCAATCGATATTGTAGTATAGTACAGAGACAATTACTTAAAGCTGGTTTTTGTTTGTTTTGTGATTCAACAAATTTCAAGAATAATTCTAGGCAATTGATGAATCTGATCTGCTCCCCATTTACCCTTTGTACCCATAACGAACGTGCTAACAGCATTTAGCACCTCACCTCATATAAAACAACTGCCCCAAGCCCCACCATGCCCGCCCCCGGCCACAGCGTTTCCAGTGCGCATGGGATGAAAGCATGCACAAATAAATTTAACCAATTTGAACGGGAATCAAGACTGACCGAGACCGTAAATTGTTTAAGCTCTAGTATGACTACATATATATATAAATATATTATTATATTATATTATCATGTGTAGATCCGCAAATTAGTGATAGTTTTGTTTTGAGCAGATTAAGCCCATTAGCATGGTGAAATTTAGTTGCATACATATGGTACATAAATGCCAATCGGAATTAGTTTTAACTTCTCTTCGTTTTTTTTTTTCTCTTACCAATTAACACCATCCGTTCTGGCAAGCCCATTTACTAGATTTCTAGTTCAAGCTCCGCTGGCTGTTTGGCTTGGCTCGGCGCTTCATGTTGAATGTCAATGACTTGGTTCGTCGCTGGAGTTGTTGCTGGAGCTGTTGCTGGAGCTGGAGGCAGTGGCATTTGCAGTGTTCATTTGTCAACAACAACAACAGCAACTAGCTACAACTACAACAATGTCGCCCTCAATGCCCAAGCAGCGTTGCGCTTTTAACGCTTTTGTATTATTATTTGCTAAGCAGATCATAAATACTTGGCTATATACAACAACAACAACAACAACAGCAACATCAATTGATGCAGCATATTTGACTTGAAATGGCATTTAGAAATGTTAATTGTCGGATTTATGGCTGTGGGAGTGTTTCTTATTGAAAGAACAAGCCCCACAAAGTAAAGAGCTGCGAAAAAGTTCAAATATCCGCCAAGATGAGCTTAAATAATTATTGAGAAACTATACACATAATGTGCTAAAATGATTATCATGCCAGGCGCAAGGCACAACAAGCAGCCGCATTGTTACGCCCATTTACGCATGTTTACCAAGTTTCAGGAGCTTTTGGGTAGAAGGAAGACAATACGCAAGGTTTTCACACCAAGGTGCCAAAATTGCGGCAACAGCCAAATCCAAATCCAAATGTCAAAGTCCGTATATTACGCTACAGCTACAGGCACAAGTGTAGGGTATATATGTACTTATGCATATTTATCTGAATTGTATTGCTTTTTATTTTTTGTCGACATCTTCAAAACACAATGGTGGATTTTTTTTCTCCCCAAATTGCAAATGCACTTAACAAATGCGATTTTCGAAAGCGATAGCAAGTCACATTTTGAAGTTTTGGGAAAAGCTACAAAATTTCAGAGAAGCAACAACAAAAATTACACTTAAAGTACGGATAATGGACAAAGACAAAGCGAGGAAGGTTATTGTTGAGGCGCCACAAATTAATTTGCACCTTTCGCCTCTGTCGCAGCAGCTGTCGCGGCAGCAGCAGCCGCAGCAGCAGCAGCAGCAGCAGCAGAGATAGCGACAAGTCTGTCGGTCGCAGCAGCCGGTGAAAGTTGCATGCAAATACAAAGCCAGAAAAACTGTGGTGCTGTGGTGCTGTGGGGCTGGCCAAAAGCCCAAATCATGATTCGCGTTGCACTCTCTTCGCTGGGCTGTTGCAATTGCTGCTGGCAAATGCCAAAGCCGCAGGGCCCTTCTATTTCTTTTCCCTGTGCTGGGCGGCTATGTCATAATCCGCGTCGAGGCTTTTCCTCATTGCACCCGAAAGCGTTTCGCTTGAGTTGGGTGCCTGGCCTAACGGCAAGTGTACTCGTTATTTGTCATTTATTTGCACTTCGCAATTGAGTGCGCTTTGCTGGTAGGAAGCGGAAATAAGTGGCATTTGGCGTAAAGTGTGATGTTTGAGTGCGTTTTTGCTCAATTTGCGCAGTTAAAAGCATTATGCATTAACAATATTGGTCCAAAAATAATTTATTAACCGACCGTTAAATCAATTTAAAAATGTCATTTCTAACTCGTTACTTATCGATAGTTGCGCTCTCAGTGGCTGTAAAACTGTAACAGCTGTTTAGCTGCATACTTTTGAGCTATGAATAATTGTATCGATATAAATAGGTAACAATTTTATTTGAATATTTAGGGTTAGTTACCGATAAATACATGAGCTTTTGTAATACTGCTGTCATAAATGTTAGTTTAGCTGTCAAGTTTTGTAACATTTTGCTTTTACAATCGATACCATAAATCGCATTGCAGCCCTGGAAGTATCGGTATCGTCTGCGCAAGTCATGACCCAAAAATGAACATCAGCTCTTTGAAAATGCATAAACACTTTTTTACATGAAGTATTCAAACAAAAGCAAACTCAAAACGTGTGCACGTGGATGCGACGAAGCGTGTGTGCCGTACGTGGAGAACACAGGAAAGGGCGTGCATCAAGATTTTAAAGAAACAATTCAGCAAGTACGCACCGCACTGTCAATGAGGATGACCCACACCCGCACCCCGCTAACGCAAACGCATTGATTACTACACATTTTCATCGTGCAAGCAACGCAACGCGGCGCCGCCATTGAATCTAAAATCAGGCAAGTTCTAAACGAAAAACGTTTCCACGCAAGCTTATGCAAAAATGTCGCTAATGACGCGCATCGAGGGCAGCGGCGGCGGCGACAGCGGCGGCAGCGAATCGCAGAAGACGCCTTCAATTTCCGAGGTCGCTGCGTTAAGCGATGAATTACAAGATGGTGATAATAGCCTGGAGCCAGGTGAACTTGTCACGCCACCGCATCAACAGCCAGGCAACGCTAGTCCGGCGCTGAAGAAAATGCTCGCCAAGGACTTTATAAGCAAGGCATTGCGCAAGCTGACACAAATCGATACGGATAACTGTGAGGAGAAGGAGCGTGCTATTTTGGAGCTGGAGGCCATCAGGCGCAAAGAGGCCACTGTCAAAATGGTGACTGAGAAGCCAGCGCAAGCCTATCCACTGGAAAATGGCAGCGCTGATACTGATACGGCGGGTACATCGGCGCCCGCATTAACGGACGATGCCGATGACAGTGAAGGCTTGTACTCGGACACCGATTCCTCTGGGGATGACCAGAAGAATGTAGAGGATGTGCAGAAGGCGCGCAAGGAGAAGGAAGCCGAGGCAGCTGCGGCGGCAGCACCACCACCACCACCTGCCCCTCACCATCCCTTTCTTGGACTCAATCCGCTGCGCTTTCACATGCGTCCGCCGTGTTTTGACTTTGGACGCATGGGTTTTGTACCCAGAATGCCGCGTGGTGGCATGCGTGGAATGCGACCAATGTTCTTTAACCGATTACCCGCTGCCAATCGTTGTGCCACGCCCAGGGGCCCAACACCGCCTTCATCAGTGTCAGCGTCGTCAACGTGCAATGGACCTCAAGGTCAGACTGCTCCATCACCAGGTTCATACGGACCAGCGTTGCCACCCGGTCAGGCCCAAGGTCAAAGCCAGGGCAATAAACGCACACAGTCCGATATAACGTAAGTATAACGAATCTACAGAAGACACTCGATGTTGTAAATAATGGTGAACGTTTTTAAAATATCTAACTATGTGCTCACCCAGCTGGACAACATCGCAGCCGCCAGTGTCGTTCATCTTTAATCTAGTTACGGAATGTGGCAATGCGCAACACAAAAGCTGCAAGCAAAAAGAAGTACAGGCGGCCAAGCCTAACTCCAAGGAAAATGCCGGCTGTGTCACGCTAAGGGAACTGTCCAAGGATGAGAGTAACCGATGCAAGGACCCGCCCAAGGAGCGTAAAGAGAAGCAGAGGGACCGCTTCAAGGAGAAACTTAGGGAACGTTCAAAGGAGTCTAGAATCGATAGCTCAAAGGAGAGACTTAAAGGACGCTCAAGCGAACGTTTTAGGGAAAAAAAGAGCGAACGCATCAGTGAGAGGCAGAGGATTAACTCCAAAGAGAGAAGGGAGTGCTCCAATGATAAGCAAAGGGAACGCTCTAAAGATATCAGGGAATGCTCCAATAATAGGCAAAGCGAGCGCTCTAAAGACAGAAAAGAGTTTCCAAATGATAAAAATATCGAACGTCCTAAACAGAGAAGAGAGAGCTCCTATGATAAGCAAAGAGAACGCTCCAAAGACAAGAGAATTGGTGACAAGCCAAGAGAACGCTCCAAGGAAAAGTTGGATCGCTCGATTGAAAAGCAAAGGGAACGCTCTAAGGAGAAGAAACGAGATAGTGACCAATCCAAAGAGAAATCTACATCACGTTCAACGGAAAAGCTTAGTTTAGAATCGAAAAAAGGACGCCGAGATCGTTCTAATGATGGACGTAGCAAAAAGTCAAGACACCGTACGCGTAGTAGAAGCAATAGTCGCAAGTCAGAGATTAGAGCAAAGACGCCGCCAATGCCGCCACTGCCACAGCCCAATAACGCTGCTCAACGGAACGAACAAGTGCAAGTGCTAACGCCACCACCGGCTCCGGCCGAGACGATAAAGGCCTTCGATATATTCGCCGAATCGCCGCCAAGACTGAAGAAAGCTAACAGCCCAGCCAAGATGCAATCGCCGCCACAGGAAAAAACTGCCGATTTAAAAACAGAAAAGGCTGCAGAACGCAGTACAACGCCACCGCTGGAGAATCTACATATGCAGACGAAGCCTGTACCCATTCTTGAGCCACAAAAATCAACGGCACCGCAGTTGAAAATACACAGCGAGATTCACATACGTATTGGTGCGCTGCTCGAGGACAACGATCTGCATTTCGAGGCGTTGTTGGCCACCAAGGAGCAGCTATTGCGTAAGAGCACAGAACACCGCAATAAAAAGGAAGCACCCAAAGAGGTGCACATCAAAGTGGAGCCCATCGAGTCAGAGACCGCTTCAAGCAGTCGGTGGACAGCAAGCGGCACACCGGAACGGCAAACGGCGCCGCCTCGGCATGCCAATCCCTTTAAGCGTGAAACAGTATTATCTGAAACGTTCAGTCGCCTGTCGCCCCCTAGGCGCGCCACAGATTCGTCGCATCGCAGTATGCAACGAAATGGGGACAGGCACAGTAACCTACGCAGTGAGCGCGACACGACGACGCTTCGGCCCAGTGATCAGTTCAAGGAGCGTGTCATCAAGCAGGAAAAGAATCGCTCTAAGACGCCACCGTTGCTTACAGTGCAACAAATCAAAGTGGAACGCAATGCGACACCGCCACGAGGTGGTGAAAACGAAAGGGAGGTGCCAGTGCGCAATGGTGTGCTGGCTGCCAATGCGCCGCCGCCTCAGTTTGCTCCCGAGATGACTGGCAAGAACGATGAGCACAGTCCCGATACTGATGACTACATAGACAACTGGGAGAACGACGACTCCATGGCGGGTGGTGACAGCAGTACGCCAAAAAATTTACCATCCACAGTTATGGGACGCCTCAACGGCGACAATGATGAAGACTCAAATGCCTTATGGAATGCCAATAGCACGCCACCGCCTAAAGCCAAGATGCCACAGATGCCACAGCAACTGCCGGAGGTAACTGCAGCAGTTGTGCCCGACAAGGCGCTGATTAACATACACGATTTGTACGACAAGTTCATGAAGAGTATTAAGATGGGCGGCAATGCGAATGAAACAACAGCAGCTGCCACGGCGGAGGCAACCACAAATAGTTCCTTAAGCAATTCCACTGCCGAAGAATCTTCCAGCGACACAGATGCAACATCGAGCAGCAGCAGCAGCAGCAGCGGCAGCAGTTCCGATGATGACGACAATAATGATGACGATGACGACGACGATGAAGATGACGATGACGAGTCTAGCACAGATGACGACGACAATGCTGAGCAGCAAGAGCAGAAGACGCAGCAGCTGATCGGCCTGGAGGATGGCGACCAATCTCAATCACAGTCAGCTGACGTGGACGATGCAGCAGCGGCTGGAAAGCTGCTGCTTAGCCATAAGAAGAACAATGTCAGCAAGGATTTGCGCAAACTCAAAAGTCTCGAGGACAATTTAGCGCGCATTCAGATGATGCGTGAGAATTATGATTCGGGTGACGACATTTGCGAGGAGTTGCTCAAAATGGAATCGCTATTCCTCATGCAGCGCAATGCCATTATGAACAAATATCGTAAGCCGGAACTCAAGACGGCCAGCGAGGAGGAGCATCAACTGCAGCAGCAGAGGGAGGCTGAGCAGCAGCAGCATCTGCCGCCACGGCCAGCATCTCCAGTTAATAATATCTTTGATGCAAATCGTGAAGCGATCAAACTAACCATTTCACCCTTAAAACTAACACGCAAGCCAGCTATTTTTGACAAGGATGAACCAGATATGGCACCACAGTCGTCCTCGTCGCAGCCACTCGAAGGCAAGCTGACCAAACCGCCCAAAGAGATTGCCATTGTCAAGCCCACCATCATGGACATGCGTTCCAAGCCCGCACGGCAGCAGCAACATACACAGACGCAGCTGCAGCCACCGCAACACCACCAGCTAAAGCGATCACGGACTCGGGAGCGCTCCAGATCGCGTTCAATGTCACGCAATCGTTTTCGACGTAATGTCCGTCCCAGTCGCAGCAAAGACTCGACACGTTCGCCCAGTCCACGTCGCCGGCGTCCAATGCCTTCGCCACGTCGCGGACGCTTTGGCAAGCCACGTTTGGGCGTGGGTCGCAGCCGCAGCCGCAGTTTGAGTCGCAGTCGCACGCGCAGTCGCAGTCCGTTGCGCAGGCGGCGCACCAAGCCGCTGCCCGGACGACGTCGCAGCTCATTGTCACCGCCTTGCAAGATGCTGGGCCCACGCTCACCACCACCATCGGCGCGACGTCGCTCCTATAGCCGCGAGCGCTGCTACTCTCGCTCACCGCTACCTTTTAAGCCGCCATCGCCACCCATGCGACGCAGCTGGTCAAGATCAAGGTCACGCTCGCGCTCACCCTCACGCAGACACAGTCGCACGAGGTCGAGAACCAGATCAAGATCCCCACATAGTCAGAGCTTTGCCGACTACTTTGTGGAGAACCAGAGCCTAGAGGCAGCTGCCTACTATTACAACATGTCTCTGATGCAGCAGGATGCGAGTGGCGAGCAGTATGACAGTTACGCGGCCTACGTGGACACCGCCTACAACATGGAGCAGGCCTATGCGCAATACACCGAGTATTCGGCGACCACAGCAACTGTACCTATGGACTATGACTATGGTGGTGGCAGCCTAGTGGAGCCATCAGCTATACCGGTGCTGCGTGAGCTGCCCATGGCGCCCGTTGTGCCTGTGGCCGTGCAAAAGGGAAATGTGCTGGAAATTGTGCCGTCTATGGAGGCCGTCGTGGAGCTAACGAACGTGCCGGCTGTTGTGCCAGAGGAACCACCCGAGGACAAAAAGTAAGTCAACTATAATTTCAGCCGACCTGTCACCTAACCATATCGTATTGCCACACAGCAAACCCAAGCGCAAGCGCGTCAACTTTGTGGACAATGTGCTGCCCAACTACGAGAGCGACAGCGAGGATCGCAAAGTAGTAGAAATTGCGGTGGAGCGTGCTGTAGGTCAGTATCGGGAGCGATGTGCCGCCAAGGCGGCCAAATTGCAGCGCACAAGGGAACAACTGTTAGCCATGCCTCCGCCACTGCCGCCGGTTGCTCCTAAGCCGGCGCAACTGGATAGGCCCGTTCTAGTGCAAAAGAAGCCCCGGTTCCGCTACTATCACTTTGATCCCATTAAGGGAGCCATTGTAAAGTCGCGCGAACGCATGCTACGCTCGTCAATGCCGCATCCACCGCCACGCTTTGATCCCAAGTACATGGCAATGCTGGTGAAGTCTGGACGCTTGCTGATGCCGGCGTTTTTGCGGCATCGACCACCACCGCTACCCGCGCAAGCGGATGCCATGCTGCAGGAGTTCTTTAGCAAGCATCCGCCGCCACCGCTGCAAAACGTGCTACCACATTATCTGCGTGGACCACCGCCAATGGCAACGGTGACGGCGGCACCGCCACCCATTGTCTCACAGCCGATACCTGTGCTGGGTGCACAGAGCTATCAATGCTATCCGCCAACCCCAACGCCAGTTGGGGCGCCCGTGCCCTCAGTTGTCACAATACCAGCGCCTGTTCCAGTGCCAGTGCCTGTGCCCGTGCCCGTACCCGTTCCCGTGCTGACAGCCTCGCCACTAACATCAACGCCACCGCCAGCATTGGTGCCTCCGTACTTTACGCCGCCACCCCTGCCCACTTTGTCATCACATTTCACGGTGCAGCCCGTGCCAACAATGCGCGAAATAATGCCCGTGGACATATTACAGAAAATTGGGCCGCTGCCCAAGACACTAGATCTGGATGTCGGCAACCCCGGCCCGGACGATACCAGCACCGATCTCAAGGAAGCCGAGACGACGCCGTCAATAGAGACAGCACCTGCCGACGATCGACCGACGCCAGCAACGTTGCTGGAAACCTAATAAGAGAACAACATCAATGCACGCACTCTAATCCCCTATCCCCCTGAAGTCAGTCTTAAGAAACCGGTTCGCAATTATACTCGCATGTACTTAGAACCACCAACCAGCTGGACACATCATAACAAATTAGCTCTAAGTAGTTATCTTGTAGGCCTATCAACAACCTAGACATATTATTTTTTTTTTTTAACCATCCAACGAGCTCCCTGCAATTATATCATAATATTTTGTTGTTTTTCCTTCACCTTTTTCTTAAATTCATTTTTTTTTTACATTTATATTTTGTAAGCGAAAGGCATTTATTGTTAATGTTTTCTAGAACTAATTATTCATTGTGTAACATTTAACATTTAGTTCATTGATTTCTACAAGAAAATAAAAACAAATCAACAACTGTAAATAGTGCGAACGACTAGGAGCATATCGAGTCGTATTTAGTCTAAGCGACATACGTAATGTATTTAACGAAACTTTATACAAAAATTCTACAATTAAACGATGGTACATTTGACGTATGTATGTACATGTATGTACGTGGAATATATTAAGTTGTTATGTAATTGGAGGGAGCTGAAGGATATTGAATAAGCGATAATGGAGCTGGAGATATGTATGTACGTGTGGAAAATTGTTCTGATATTGTTAAAAAGTCGTCTCCATCCATATAGTATATATACTTACTTAAATGAACGTTTCAATGTATGTGGATGTGGCTGCCTAGGCGTGCACATAAATGTGCATGTAAATACATATACATAGATGCATATGCGCAAGCATATATGTATGTGTGTGTATACATATAAATGTGTGTAGATGTACATATATGTGTGTATGTGTTTATATGCAAGTGTTCATGCTTCCATATACGTTCACATACATTTATACCAAACACAAAATAAGTTTAGTTTCCGCTGCGAAACATTTAAAAAAAAACGTATTAGTAAATGTTGCCCTTCTACTCGATTCTCATAAATTTAAGTAAGCCCTAGAGGTTTTATGCCTTGATAACAAGTGTTTTTTTTTGTTAATTTTGTGTGCGCTCAAATGTTTATATGTGTATAAATGTATATGTGTTCGTATGTATGCATGTATGTACCTTTGTTCGTATGTATGTATGCAAAAATTCCCACCAACATAAATCGGTCAAAACTCAACCGATTTTCATAAAGTTTGATTTTTTGTTAATGTTTTGGCCTCTCGATCAATTTTGCATTAAATCTGATACCATTATTTTTTGTCAAAATTCATGTGAAAATGGTACCCTCAAATATCTTATATAGTCATAGGTCAAAATGCTAGGCCAACAGTTTTTTTTAATTATCTGCTCCTGCGCTGATAATTAAAAAAATACATCTCTCCCTTTCTCGCTCACTATCTCTCTCTCACTCTCTCTATCTCTCCGCCAATTATTTTGCTTTCTTCTTTCATCTGTTCTCTCTAACCTGCTCTATTTTCTTTTCTTTCAGCGATCTGGATATATTTAAACTTGTTACCCTCATACATATAAATGGAAAATTAAATAATCTCTGGTGTGAATATTTCGGTAAGTGCATTTTTACATATATATACATACATATATAAGGATTCAAATTAATTCAATCCAGATTTTGATTATAATATTGAAAGAATGAGTGTGATTTTCTCCTCCGCCCAACCTATTCAGATAATCACTGGACAGTTGAATTGTGGACTTATCTTAGAAATTCTTATTTAAATCTAATTATTTATTTTGCTGATTAGAATAACTACTTTATTGAAACTAATTCTTTAACTTGTCCGGGGCAAAGGGGCCAATGTTGGCCGCATAAGCCATCAGAGCGGGTATTGTCGATTGCTCGTAGTTTCCGGAGAAGAAGTGCTCATGGGGACCCGAGGCAAAGACGCCCACATCCTCGCCGCCGTGAGTCTCAGTTTTGAGAGGAACTGTGGCTTGGAACTGGAAGTCAGCATCCTTGGTATTCGTATGCGACAGGTCCACGCGGCCGTTCTCATCGTAGGTATTCACAAAACCCGGTCCATTGGCATAAGAGAGTATAGTGAAGGGCAGCTCATCTTCGGCCTGATTGGGAGCCAGTGAAAGTATATTCTGACGACGATACTGCAAAGTATTCGGAACATTAGAAGGGAACTCAAAAAAGCGAGAGCATAAGAAGACACCTACAGGATAGCCATTGATAGTCATGGTGTGCGAGTGATCCGAGGTGACAACAATGAGCGTGTCCTCCTCAGAGGTGAGACTGCGTGCCAGCTCAACAGCGCGTGCAAACTCTTCGGTGTCCTCGAGAGCCTTTTGTGCCTTCGTCGCGTGGTGGGCCATGTCAATGCGTGCGCCCTCCACAAAGAGAAAGTAGCCCTGTTCGTTGCGACTCAGCACCTTGATGGCCGCCTCTGTCATCTCGGAGAGCGAGGGCTCCAGGTAATCCATGTGCTGGCGCATGCGATCGCCATGGTAGGGGCAGTGGCTGACATCGAATAGACCCAACAGGTAGTCAGTCTTGGTAAGGTCCAGTTTGTTGAGACCATCGCGCGACCAGACATAGTGCGCCTCAGCGCCTTGTTGTTGCTTATCCGCCTGCCAGTCCTTGATCAAATCGCGTCCGTCCTTACGTTTGCCCACAAAGCCCTCCTCATCGCGCATGCTCTTATCGCGGAAGGAGGCACGACCGCCGCCTAGAACCACACGCAAACCTCGACCAACCGGCCATTCCACCAGCTGGCGTGCAATATCCGTATTGAGCTCCGCGCTGCAGTTGATCTTTCCATCGTGCTCCCAGTTACGATCGGCAACGTGTGCGTAAACACCGGCCGGAGATGCGTGTGTCACCCTGGCCGTTGTCACCAGACCCGCCCACTTGCCCGCCTCCTGTGCCCATTGTGCAATGCTCTCCGTGTGTGTGGTCTTGTCGGTGCCCGCCAGGCAATCGCCTCGCTTCACCTGGGCATTCACGCCAATGGTGCCATAGTTGCCCTTGACACCGCTCAAGTAAGCTGTCGCCGTGCTGGCCGAGTCCGGCGTGCGCTCATCCACCGCATACGTCTTGGAGAGGCCCACATAGGGGAATTTTTCGAAGGAGACCTGCTTACTGCTGTCGCCCATGAAGGCACGTGTTGCCGCTATCGTGTGCACAGACATTCCATCGCCCAGGAACAGTATCACATTCTTGGCACGATTCTCATTGAGTTTTTTATGATGCGACAACTTATCGGCCAGTATAGACTGCGCCTTATCGTGCCAGAAACGTGTGTTGAGCTCCTCGTCCAGTTCGACATAGTCACGCGAGGCACTCATGCGTGGATGTTGTTCTGTGTGGGGATATAAAGCAAAGTTCTCAGCGATAGGGACTATCAAATGGGTTATTAATATATTCTTAACACGTGAGGTACTCATGTGTGGATCTTGTTCTGGGCGGATTTTAATACAATGTGCTCAACGATAGGGCTAATCAGATTGGTTATTAACCTATTCTAATTCATAATTAATAAGTGTTATGTCTGATAATAGCAACGATTTTCTAATGAACCAGATTAATCAATAATTTATAATTCTTAATGTGTCGTAAATTTTGTTTGTTCAATAGATAATTTAATTGCAGCTTGTATAGATTATACAAAATCTTCTCATCTAACAGGCTCTTAGCTATTTTTTAGCTGGAATTAGCTCAAAAGAATAGCTGGAAAATTTGATGATAAATGGCAGTCTTAAAGGATCAAACAATGAATTGCAAAAACCATTGTTCCTTCTTTGATTTCAATTAGTTTGACTAAGCTAAGCCCTTGGCAAAAATATTTCACACTTCTTTGAATTTATTGTTTTCGACAACAATTGATCAGTCTTTGACTTTAATTAGTTTGAAATATTTCAGACTTCTTTCATTCTTGTTCACGATGAATAATCAGGGTTCTTACTGTGCTGATTCATTCTCTTTTATTAGTTGATCAAATTCTAGCTATTGTTTTCACTAAGTGGCTGGTTAAGCAGTTTTGCAACTGCAGCTTCAAAGCCAAATTTAGCTGGAAAACAGCAGAATTGGCTGCACTGTTGCTCCGCCCGTACGCAGTACGTTCTTCTCTTCTTCGATCTGATCGAATTACTCACCATTCTCTTGCTCGTCGGATAAATCTGCCCAGGCCGGGCACGTCATCAGAGCCAGGGCCAGAATGCACCACGCTGGGTATTTAGCACTTTTTAAGCCTTTTGTCATTTTGCTAAACTTATATTTGGAGGTACGACTCGGTTTCGTGCCGTCCAACAGCTGGCGTTAGACTGTTGAGCCAGCGTGGGGCAGACATGGTTATATAGCCTACGAGTGGGCCTTTGTCCATTATTCCGTAGTGTATATCATTTGTTATTGTGATTTGTTCAATCTAAAGTGCCAATCGCGCAGAATCGAGTGCTGATTTGACACCTGTGCTAAAGAAGTACCCATAAATAAATCAAGCTCAGGCGTCCTAATCATCACTTCACAACAATAGCCCCAAAAGTGGTTATAAAGCTGACGCTCAGCCCGGTTGAGTGCAGTAATTGCTGGACTATCGAGCTGACAGCCTGAAAATGCAGACACTACGTTGCTTAACTGGTATATGGCTGCTGCTGCTCCTGGCGGCGTGCGTGTTAGGCGGCGCAGTGCCTGGTCAGGTGCCCGAGGATGACGACGAAGACATGCACCCCCATCTGGAGGACATTGCACGGACAGCACCTGAGCCCCGCATCAAGGCAGAGAAAACACACGAATATTGGCACTCGGCCAGCAAGCAACACATTCTGGACAAGCTGAGCTATGAGCGCAACACCCAGCGTGCGAAGAACATTATACTCTTCCTGGGCGACGGCATGGGACTGGCTACCTTGGCTGCGGCTCGCAGCTACATGGGTGGTGAGGAGCTGAAGCTCGCCTTTGAGGAATTCCCCTATACGGGCCTCTCCAAGACCTACTGTGTGGACAAAATTGTGCCCGACTCGGCGTCCACGTCAACGTCGTATCTGTGCGGCGTGAAAGCAAACTATGGCACCATCGGCGTCAATGCACACATCAAACGTGGCGACTGCGTGGCCATGGCCAACCAAACGAATCACGTCTTCTCTGTGGCCAAATGGGCAATGGATGCGGGCAAAGCCGCCGGATTGGTGACCACCACGCGTGTCACACACGCCTCGCCATCGGGCGTGTATGCACATACCGCCGACCGTGAATGGGAGAACAATGCCTTGCTGGAGGAGGCTTGCGGTGAACAGGCCAAGGGTCTGGACGACATTGCGGTGCAGCTGATCCATGGCGAGGTGGGCAGCAAGCTGAAGGTTATGCTCGGCGGCGGCAGACGTAACTTTATGGATCCCCAGTTCTATGACAAGGGCCGACGCACTGACGGACGCAATCTGGTCGAAGAATTCGAGGCCATGTCCGAACGCAACACCTATGTGAAGAACCGCAAGAAGCTGCTGAAGGTGTCTGCCAACGAAACGGACCGCCTTTTGGGCCTGTTCACCAAGAGCCACATGCACTATCATCTCGAGCAGCTGGCCGATCCGGAGAATAATGAGCCCACGCTGGAGGAGATGACAGAGAAGGCCATTGAAATGCTGGAGACCGAGGAGAATGGCTACTTCCTGTTTGTAGAGGGCGGTAAAATTGATATCAGCCATCATGATACCATGGCGCGCATTGCGCTGGACGAGACCGCCGAGCTGTCCAAGGCCGTGGCACGTGCGCGCAAAATGACCAGCGAGAAGGACACCCTGATTGTGGTTACATCTGATCATTCGCACACCTTCAGCTTGGGTGGCTATCAGAAGCGTGGCAGCGACATCTTCGGCAAGGCCAAGTCCAAGGGCACCGATGGCAAACCCTATCTGGCCCTGAGCTATGCCAATGGCAAGAGCTTTGAGACCTATTACAATACACAGACGCATGAGCGTGTGGATCCCATGACGCTATTCGCTGAGGACCCAGATCCGGCCCAGCTGTTCCCGGCCACAGCTCCACTGGAGTCGGAGACGCATGGCGGCGAGGATGTTGGCGTCTTTGCTTCCGGTCCTTGGGCTCATCTCTTCACCGGCGTGTACGAGCAGAACACCATTCCACATATGTTGGCCTATGCCGCGTGCGTAGGCGATGGACAGAAAGCCTGTGATTGATTGACAGCTTGAATGACCCTTAATTTTAATTAAAAGTCGTGCTCCTTGGAGGCGATAGCAAACGATTCTCACGTACGCCTTATCATTAAGTGAATACTCAAAGATTGCTGTGGGTTTATTATGAACGTCATCAAATTGGGCTTCAGATTTGATTGTACCTACGGGATTTCGGCGCAGATAATATTTCCCTATCTTCAAATAAAGTGTACCCAAATATGTATATTATATATGGATTTTGCGCAAAAGCATTACGAGCACTTACTTTTAGAAGATAAACTCGTTCTCCAAAACGAATAGACTTCCATGAATTGGCGTTATTCGGCTCTTGGAACTTCCTCATTCTAAAAGCTGATTGTATTGTGGGACTTTTTCTACTAAAAAGAAAACGACAATTGCAGTAGAATTTTTTGACAGCATTCATCTTTTGTTCACATTATTAATTTCTTAACAGTTTTGGGCTTGAATAAGACATCATTTGTATTGCGAATACGTAAAACTGGAAATCATGACTTGTTAAGAATGTATCTAACAGGCAGTATAAGACTTACCGGATGCCAAGTATATAGGTACATCAGGTTAAGATCAAGTCGATCAACAACCAAGTATGTTTGTCTGATTCTAGTTAAATGGGATCTGTTTCTGGGCTATTGACATAAAAACTTTGCATATGTCCGTTTTTCAGATGTATATAAAATGGCAATCATAGATATGATCCGTCATATATTAAGTTTTTTCATAAAAAAAACATTTCAAGATAACTTGAACAAGCTTGGCACTGGCGAATTTTACTAATACTTAATCATTTAGAAAGAACTGTTCAAAACAGTCTTAAACTAATTTTTGTATACGAAACTTTTATATTTTTCAAGATATATTCTACTAATATTCTTCCTTTATATTCTCTTTATATCTGTCAAATCGTATCTATTCAGACTATATGACAAGTCTTAAAGGAAGAATCGCTCGTTAATAAAGCATTTCTCTGCTTCTTTGGATTTTGTCTATATACACTTATGTATAGCATCCATAGGCGATGCTGTGTAGAGGGTATCTTCTAGTTGGGCAGCTTTAATAGTGCACTCCTTCTTGTGCTTATCATGATATTCTATCGCAGCTGTATGTTATATACGCTTGATTCTCTGATTATAGTCAATCTGTACTATTAGATTGCCATGATTGTAAATAACATTTTTAAGAATTGGTATTAATTTGTTTTGAACAAACAACTTTCTAAATCTTATCTGTTGCTGTAAACTACACGGAATTCGGATTAAAATGATTAGTTTCATAAATCCATAACTGGCTTTTTTTTTATATTATAAGTGTTATATAAGAACTCGGTTCTTTGTATTTTCCACTGTCGAGGAAATATCAAAACTGAATCTTTGAAAAATTCTTAAAAAATCTCTCTCTTCGAATTATTTTGCAATAACAGTAATTTTAGAAATTATCAGTACGATTTTATTATAATAAGGGTCTTCAGGTGTCACTTAGTGTCTATAGAATAACGGCGTATCGCTGATCGACCGTGGGCGGCTGTATCAGGGAGGCATACTTATCCCTCAGATCGACCAGTGCTCGCTGGAAGCTGTCCATGCTGTTCTCCAGTTGGTTGGCGGTGGCCTGCTCGGAGCTGGCAGCGCTGACGACAGGCGGCTCACCCAGCAGCAGGACACGGCGCCAATCGTTGGCCTCAGAGTTGCCACGCAGCGAATCCTTGCGCTCCGAATTCGTTGCAGCCGCTGCAAACATAGTCTCATCCAGGCCGTCGGTCTGATCGTCGGGCGTAGGTGCTGTGGGCCCTGGCCGCGGATTTGGTGGCGTTATGCCGGTCGTTGAAGCCGCTGTGGGCACGGCCGCTTGTTGTGCAAGTTGCTCTTGGAAATTGTGCGGTAGAAGCTCATTGAGATCATTTTTGGGATTCTCGATGCGCACCAATTGGCCATCGGGCGTGATGCGGAAGAGCTGAGCGCGTCCATTAACGCCGGATGGTATGATTATAAGATTGCCAATAGCGGAGGATATGCCCTGACCGAAAGCTCCGCCGCCTCCTCCTCCTCCTCCTCCTCCCCCACCTGGTCCAAAACCTGGTCCAAATCCTGGCCCGAATCCTGGTCCGAATCCTGGTCCAAATCCTGGTCCGATTCCGGGTCCGACTCCGGGTCCTATTCCTGGTCGTGGTCCATAACCACTATATGGGCAGGGGAAGCAGTAGCCCGGTGGTCCCGGCGGTCCAGGCAAGCCTCTAGGACCAATTATAGGCTGAATATTAGGATTAAATGGTGGCATAGGTGGATAGCCCCATAGGCCACCACCACCACCACCACCACCACTACCAAAGCCAGCACCCGGAGGGCCTGGCGGTCCCGGTGGTCCTCGAGGACCCGGCTCACAATTACAGTTCAACAACGAGGCGCTGGTCGTGGAACAAATACCTTAAAGATTTGGAATATATTCACTTGAAGGATTATTAAACAAAGCGTCCTCTTAACCTACCCAGCAGCAGAGCAGCCAGAAGGCTATGCGATGCCATGATCTCTCCGTATGGTCTATGCGAACAGCATCTGCAGACTGAGTTTAGGCAAGATCGAATCATTGGTATTTATACCGAGAGCTGGGGTCTAAAGAATTTTCAGAGCTATTCTTAATGATATTCGATGCGAGTGGAAATCGGTTTCCAAACATTTTCATGTGCATATAAATGAGTGAAATGTGTGGAGAGACCCAAAACGTATTATCCAGGTGGGCTGTTGGCCCATAACTGTTCTCGCATAAGATAATCGTTAAACCTACTTAAAAGAACTAGTCAGTCAGCCAGAGAGAGGGAAACTGATACACAGTGGGTTGTGCCATCGCCAGCATCTTGACATCTATGGTTGTTTATGTCGGGAAACATGCCCATGCTGTGGCTTAAATTGGGTCGCTTCCATTCTTGGGCCATGTCACTCGTTTCGTGTCAATCAGTCCATAAAATTTGTTGCTGACTTGATGTTTATTACAGTACGGGCCATGAGGGAAAGGAAAGAAAATAAAATAAATAAATAATAATACCCTAGCGAAGAGATCTTGATTTTAGAACCTGGTGGGGTGGGCTTGATGTCATTGATTGTGAATGAAATTGATTTAACAGACACTTTTCCTCAGGTCTTCAAGCGTTAACCGTTATCTAATTCATATATATATATATATACATATGTACTTCTTAAGTAGAGGAAAAGCCAACACGAAAACCCAAACGCACTTTTCATTAGCATAAATTAATGCAAACATGTTCGCGCCCCGAATTTAATGAGTCGCCTATTCAAATGTTCTGCCACATATATATATTTGTGTGTGTGTATGTGTGTGTGTGTGTGTGTCATATCAGTTACAAGCATACCGCATGCCAGGCACAACATAGTCTATCTTGAGTGGCACCTCTCTAAATAAACCCCATTGAGCTGCGGCACGGTGCTGGGTTTGAGTACATTTATAAGTACTGCAGAAATTCCAAAAGAAAAAGAAATAAAGACAAATTGATTGTAGGTTTAAGTACGGAAGCAACTGTCGTAGCCGTTGGAATGGATTTTTCCTATGGATGATAGACTGCTTTTAAGCTAATCAATTGGCCGACTTGCTAAATTATTAGTTGCGATGAGTGCGCAAATCACTTACGCATTGGTTCCCTTTGATAAATACGAACACGTTTCAATTAGCTAATAAAGCTCTTCGAATACCCAGTCGAAATAGAAAACATGCAATAATCATGTTTCGATAAGACATCTTAAGAAGTTAGTTCGATTAAATCGTTCGCTGACCCTAATGACTTTATGGACTTCATTTTTTATATGTTGATTTTATTTATTTAATATTATCGACTATTGCTAATCAGCACATTTCTGCAATGTATATAAACTTAATTGGCGCAAAATATTTGAAGTCACATTTGCAATTGCATAGATTTTTGATAAGTTTCTAGGCATATTTGATATTACAAATATAAATATATATATATGCTGCACACACGCATAAACACATTCAGAACACACATATACATACAAATACACAGTATATGTGCCATATATTTATATATACATAGATCAGATCATGGGCGACGTTTCGGCTGTTATGTTATCATTGGTGTGAGCTCTTTGACTTGGTTAATTCATTCATTTTAAATCCACACCAATATGAGAAAATTGTAAGAGCATTGATAAAGAGCAAAATGAATATATATAAACACAAGTGGGTGAACTAAAGGACTACAAAATAAATACATTTGTAAATGGTTTCAATTGAACTCTACAGCCGCACGAATTTAGTCTATTTTCACATTGGAATAGATTTTACGCACGAAGAGATTCGTGCCCACATAGCCGACGGTTCCGCAGATGATGCCCAAAGCGCCGCTGAACAGTGCCATGTAGCCAAAATAGAAAGCTGTTTGGAATAGTCCAAACATTCTGCAAAAAAAACAAAGTGATATGGATTAACGATGTCAACAAGTGCAATGCTTAAGTTCACGTACTTAGTTTTAAAAAAGAAGTAGTAAAAGGAATAGGCGTATACGTAAATGGACGTGGAACCAGCTGCCATAAAGCTCGTCCATTGCCACCGATAATCCTCGGCATTCAGCAGGAAGTATGTGCACACAATGGTAACACAAACGGTGACCACAGTCAAAATGGAAAACACGAGCAACATGAAGCCATAGACATAATAGATTTTATACGCCCAGAACGAGGTGAAGATAAAGTACCTGTACATCAAACGAGAGAGAAGATAGTATCAAGAGATAAGCTCCAGCAATAAGCAATTAAATTGAATCACATACATTTCAATGAAAATGGAACCAAATGGTAGCACACCGCCCAGCAGCACAATAATCAACGGTTCCATATACCATTTCTTTTCGGGAATGGGCCTGGGTACAGCGTTAACGCGACAAGGGAAATCCGGCTGGCCATCCAAATTACGTCCCACCACGGTGCCAACGAGAGTCAGTGGCAAGATGACAAACAGGCAAATGCAGGTGACTGCAACCATTGTGCCAAAGGGTATGGCGCGCGATGCATGATAGCCAATGGCAATAAAGTTAATAAAGAACGCAGTTCCACAAACGGCGACAGGCACCGTAAAAGCGGAAGCGAGCATCTGACGTATCCACAAACGACCGCCCAGTCGAGCATAAAGTGAGCCACCGAAATATCCATTAATGGGAGATGTAGCTGCATATACAAATATGGCCGTAGATAGCATTGAGCCACGTCTATGAAGCAAGAATGATATAAACTATTTGTCAATGTTGGTTCAGCTGTTCACTTACTCTGTATACAGTTCGCCGACAATCGCAAACATGATGACACAAAAGACAACCGAGATGAGCTGATAGCCGGCACCGATGAGCGCCGAGAAGAGAAGGGAATTTGGTGGTGTGCGAAAAACATCGCCATGCACCTGTTTCCAGCCGTATTCATCGCCCAAGTCGCGTTCCATGTCATCCACCTCCTCATCCTTGCTGTAGCGTGCATAATCCTTGCGCAGCGTACGCATCAATATCATAGAAACCAGACCCACCAGGAAAATTACCATCATGAAGCTGTTAAAGATGCTGAACCAATGTATCTGAGTGCAAATAAATTGTGCTAATTAGCTATGGTCAATAGAAGTGTGAGCAGGCATAGATACCCTGTGCTGGAAAAAATTTGGATCCAGATACTTGTCAAAGCGATTCTTAAACTCTATCTTTGTGGGCTTCCAATTAACCTCGTAGGAGAACTTGATTTTAGCATCCGTTTTCAGTTCCTCGCGCATTTCCGTTGTCAGCGTTATGTCCACAATCTGCTGGCCATTATAGCCAATATCGAATTTCTTGTGCGTGTGTATGTAATACTTGCCATCGGTCTCATCCCGTTCACCGACCTTGCCCCATATGGGCAGACCATCAATATACATCTGATACCAATACTCGTTCATCACAGCATATTTAAACGCCTTCACATTCTCCTCGGTTAGCTTAACCATACAAATAACCGTGCGCGGGACATCCGTCTTGAAGTCCATCTCGTAACCGCTGAACTCTAGCTCAACTCCCTGGAGTGCCTCGCTGAGTGTTTCATGGTAGTGGGATATGCTCGATTTGGTACCGCTGCAGAACGGCAGCGAAAAGTAGGCATAGGTTTCCTGCCGGTTATGATACGGACCAACCGTATTCATCCATAACACCACCTCCTCTCGATCATTATACTGCAAGCATTGTTTTATGTTTAGATCTTGTACGATGTGTGCCACCTACACTACAGATGCATGCATACAGACACATATACAAATATACCTTATGATTGTGCTCATCGGCTGACACCGACACGTAGCAGCTACTGAAGAGCAGACATAAACAAATTAGAAGGACCGGTGACGTGCCCATGGCTGAACTTGTTTTTGTGGTCTTTCTATGCCTGAGTCTGCTGCTGGCCACTTAACGTTTCTTTCCAGCGTAGATTTCGTTAAACAAAACGGAAGAATTAAAATGAAATATTTGTGATAGCCTCGATTAGAGCAGTGTTGGCTAGTGTTTAGGATTCTGATTGATCTATCGATAGCTGCATCGCTAAACGATTTATTCTAAAACTTCAATACGATATGTGCATGAAATTATCGTCAGGGGCTATTATATTACGAGACCCACATCAAGAATGCCTATAGCAACTTCAATATTGTTTAAAAAATGATTGATAAGCACGGATGTTCAAACCAATCGTGTTGCTTGATATCGATATCGATACACTTTCATTCTGAACTAGTGCTATCGAAGTTAATTTAGAACCACAATTTAACAGAAAACTCCGCAACTTGGAGAAATGCGGTCACATTGCTCGGTTTAATAATACAAACGCCTTTTTAATTAATTTATTTAATTCATTTAACTGAATTTAATACGTTTACACCACATCTGTGCAATAATGAACAATATGGAACCGGGGGTTGAAATGTTCTCCCCAGAGACTGTTCGGAAGTCGGAAACGGACACCAACGCAGCGGGAACGACGGGCAATGCCAGCAGCAACATGGTGCTGAGCGCCAAAGAGGATGAGCTAATATCAATGGAAACACTGCGTGAATCACCGGTGCAGTGGCCAGAACGCTTTCCTGGCATGGATGACTTTCTGACCATGAGCCAAACACCGATACACACACCAAACGCCGAATGCACACAAAACTTTAACAGCGCGGACATGGCAAGGATGAACCGTAAGCGGAATTGGGAATTCTAGCAGCATTGCAGCGGGCTTTAACAATATTTGAACCATTTTAGAGCTGGCCAGCCTCACACCAGAGCAACTGATAGATAAGATTAAGTCCATGCATGATGAAATCTATCAACTAGGCCTGCGAGAGTCCAAGGAAATGACACGCGGCAAACTGTTGGGCATCTTTGATCGAATGGCCAAAGGAAAGAAATAGGACATTCACTTTGAATTCTGTTGCCGTATTATATATAGTTAATTTTACTTTATTATACATAGACATGTGGTTACATGTAGCCTAAATTTAATGCATATTATGAATTTTTTTTTTGTAATAAAAAGAGCGATCGTTGATTAATTTAAGTTAATCATTTAAATGTAC